GGAAATACTTGCCTATTTTATAAACAGTAAAAGAAAGTTTTTAAGATGTAAAACAGAAAAATTTAATAGCTAATCGTTTTATAAATAAATAATAAAGTTTTTCCCGGAATAATACACCATATCAACAGAATTTTTAAATAACTGTTGTACATAAGGCTTTTTAAAACTGCGCCATTTGGCGCGCATTTTTTTGATAAACTGAAATGTTGATACTTTACAGGCTGCAGAACCTGACGCTCCAGTACCCTGGCCAAAAAATGTTTATCTTGGTGCTCTTGCAGTGGGCATTTCAAGCTCTATGACGTTCTTGTTTCCGTTCCTCTATACACCTGCATACTATTGTCACTTTACTGGAAAAGTTCCGAAGAAAAAAATGGTAAGTATTTAAAAGCTTGCTATTCAGGAAATCAGCTTCATAGTTTTTTTGGATATGCATAGATATTTTTCCGAATGCCTCGCAGTGGCAACAATGGGTTATATCGTAATGTCGACGCAAGCCTTTACTCGCCGCCCTTCATTGAATCATCAGCAGTGCACAACCTCCAATGATACTGATTTTTTTTATAGGATCGGGTGACAAACGAGCACACAGTCCACTTGATGCTAAGTGGTTACTGTGACCCATAGACATCTACATCTATCCTCAATAAAGACTCAAGATGCAGATGCGTTGTCACCCGTGATGACTAAGATGGAATGCCTCTTTGCCAGTAAAAATGGTATCCGGTTCTCTGCCCACACCATACAAAACAGCAGCGTTAAGCTGCTATTTTACGCTTGTATTCTGTGAGAGTGTGGTGTTTCCCCGGTCGAGCCGACCCATTCCTGCTACAACCATAAAATAGCTGCAGTGTGGCCCTACCACTTCATATAACCAATACCGATGTACAAGTGATACTGACACCAGCCAGTCTGTGGACTTTAGTTCAAATATGTTCACATTTTATTATGTTTCAACGAAATTAATCTAATGGCTAAGTATACGAACAGCGCAATTTTAAGTTCATGGGTTCGAATCCGATATCCGAATGGGATAAGTTTATAAGTAGTGTTAAGATCACTGATAGGATTATTTTTTTAAATATAAAATTGGATAAACCATCATCAGTCAACTCGAGAAGGTGAGATTGGTTTTGGAAAAAGGTAAGCGTTGTTCATTGCGAAAAAAATGTCATTCTACTGCTTTTCTGCAAGATTTTTTTTTAAATATTACCTTTACACCAGGATTTTCTCCTGTATAGTTTACATACATAAATTTCACAAAGACAAATATCCAGACCCCGAACAATTATTTGTAGGCCATACAAGTACTTGTTCCGTACGAGATTCGAACCCTTGGCCCTCAGGGCTGCAACTCATTGCTAAGCCACTGCGTCACGAAGCCGTCAATTATCTTATCTTATTATACAAAACATTACACCCGTGTAGTGTTAGTGTAAGGAATTAAGAAAATTACTATTATTATTATCACTACCAAATTTCGACTCGTGGATGATGTACGAGGCAACAAACCAGGAAATGGGTCGCAGTCATCCTATTAACTAATGAATGTTAAACATTCGGATAAAAGAAAATTAAACAACCCGCCTGTCAATTGTAGCAACTATAGGAAGCATTCCCCATGAATAATGACATAAAGAAATATGATTATATGTAAATGGATATACATCTAAAATTGTAATCATTTTGTGATTTTGAAATAAATATTATTTTTTACAGGTAAAATATTCAATTCTTAGTTCCATTATTTGTATGGTTATTATATGGCTAGCCGTGTGCTTTTGGGCTCCCGTTGTTTGGGATCCCTCTGGTGAAGGGTTTTCACCCTTGGCTGGACCTGAAGGAGCACCTGAAGGAGGCGGTGGGGCAGGAGGAGATGGAGGTGGCGGAGGAGGTGGTGGTGGCGGAGAGGGTGGTGGTGGAGGAGGTGGTGAACCACCTGCACCTCCACCTCCACCTCCACCAGGAGCATAATCACCATCAAAATAACTCACAATCAAGCCAGCAATTTTGGCTCAACTTCGTCTCTAAAAATAGCCTTAATATTAGAATATGCTTTACAAGAAAGTTATTTTACAATGAACTTGCCTTATATTCTTTAAAATTTATTTATTGTGGAAGATATTGTAATTTTGTTACAGTGATATCGTATTGACTGTAAGCGTGTCTCGTCTCAACCGCGTATTTCATAAATAATAAAATTACTATGAATAAATTGTATTGTGCATTTATTTTACGTTACTAAAAATAAAACTAGTAGGTATAATGCTAAGAAAGAAACATTGAAGGTCACAATCACACGTAGTCACAGGTAGTCAAATTAAGGTGTGTGTGAGCGCTGAGGCCTTTTTTTTCTAAAACAACAGCTACATTGGAAAAATGTGGTACAAATCCTTCTACAGGTGTAAGTACATTGAATTAGAGCACACCTCAAATGGCGATTCATGGTGGCCGCGCCAGGCAATCGAACGTCACATATCAACGCATACATGCCGGTTAATAAGTCCATCTTGTTTTTCGCAAATTAAATGAACAGTATTCATAAAGCAGCCAAAAGATCCGTATTTTAAAATTTCTTGCAGCTTTTGCAGAAAAAATTTACCTTAAATAGCATAAACTAACTTAAGTGATTAGCAACATGCCCTAATATATTTTCAGCTTTTATTTAAAACTGATTTCATCATTCTGTACCTCGCCATTTTCCTGCTGTAATGCTTCCTGCCTCTGCAAAAACTCTACCTCAATGTCGTGTCTGTGATTAAAACTTAATATTATCTAAACATGTAACACAGGAAACTGGCAGATCTTTCAATGCCAAAAACTGACTAATCTTCTTCGGCGGCTTGAAATATGTTTTAATGGAAGCACGCTTCAAGATGTAGCCAATCTTGTCAGTGACACCTCTGTCATATGGCAGTACAGCAGGCACTCACTCGACTGTGGCCGGCTTCACTCGTTCACTGTGACGTAGGCGCGGGACCCGAAGCTTATTGTCGTACAAAACTTGCTTGACGTGTTGGAGCTCGGCGGCCAGATGTTTACTGTCACAGATCCCTCGTGCTCTCTGAAACAAAGATTTACCCACGGTTGCTAACTGTGAAGGATGGTGGTGAGAATCACCGTTTAAATATCTATCTGTATGGGTCTGTTTTTCTATACACAGTGTGGCTCAAGGTGGTGTTATCAGGATTCCGAATTACTAACACATCTAGAAAAGCTAAAGAATTGTTTGCCTCTAACTCCATTGTGAACTGAATTTTAGAATTTAAGGAGTTAAGATAATGCAGTTACTTTATCTAAAGGGAGAATTGTGAAAGTATCTTCTACGTACCGCTTGTAGATAGATAAGTTGTTAATTGCTAATGATTTCTTATATAGGACAAACTAAATGATCCATAAAAACCCGCGTTAAAGAACACATAGCTGATGTGAAGAATCGACGCTCTGGGAAGTCTGCAGTCAGTGAACACGTACAGGATCGCCCCCGTCACTACATTAGATTTGATAGACCACAAATCCTCGCTAAAGAACACCGATTCCTTCCAAGGATGATTCGGGAGGCTATTGAAATCAAGAAACATCCTAATTTCAATAGAGAAGATGGCTGGGTGCTACCATCTGCTTGGGATCCCATAATTAATAAAATCAAATCCCAACCCAAGCATACTAAGTAAGTAAGACTTCATGATACTGTAAGTTCATACTGCGTAGATCGGAACAAAAATTAATAATTTTTAATCTGGAGGTAGCCTTGGTTAACTATGACATTGGGACGTCATACACCTCAGTCCCCCCCGTGACCATGGGTGCTGTAAAGTACTTGAAACGTCGGGAATGTAAAATAAGTTAATATACGCGATAAAATCCGTAAAATTAGTTTTATTTAAATACATATATCAATTCCACATACCCTAATTTAATCATCGGTTTCTATCTGGTCCTGGTAACGTATCTTCAAAACAAAAAAGATAATTTTGAGTGGTAGAGCCACAGAGTACATATGACTGCAGCACTAATGTGCTAGGACAATTGAATTAGGGTGAACCAAGTTCTCATAAAATACCAGCGTAACATAACAGCTTAATGTTGCTATATTTCGTATCGAATAAGTATCAAGTATTGGATACCCTTTTTACTCGTAATGAGACATTCCATGTTACTCGTAAGGGGTTATTCCGTTTACCCACCCTAAAAAATCCTCCCTAGGGTGGATACTCGGAAACGCGTGTTCATTCATGTACCACAGAAGGGGTGGATAATAGGAATTCATGTATACTATGTTAAGTGTTAGTTAGTTAAGTGGTGACAACGCATCTGCATTATGATTCTTTATCGATAATAGATGTAGATGTCATTGTACCCGCTAACCATCAGTTAGAGTCTGTACTCGATTGTTGCTATTATTCTATAAACAATAGAGAGTTATAAAATACATATACAGGCAGTCCGCCTATCCAGCGTGGTTTGGTTTAGTTTTTTAAAATATGGGTGACTGCCATAAGTGAATATGTTGTTGAGTTTTCCTGTCAATAAATACTTAGTAGAAGCGAAGTAAGGAAGTTGGCGGTGTTTTATCCCCGCGCCTCGTGAAAACACACCAAGTCCTAGGTCCTGCGCCTGATCTCACTCCGCTCGTGTATGATCATACATACATACATACATACATACATACATAAACACTCACGCCTGTCACCCAGAGGGGTAGGCAGAGATTATGGACTTCCATTTGGCACGATCCTGACACACCTCTCTCGCTTCCTCCACATCCATATACCTACGCATACAGATGATGTATGATCACCCTCACTTAAAACTTTAAAAGTGAGGGAACATATGGTGAACCTATGCTTTTGCTCTATAATTCTGTCTTAAGCAGATATAATTCAATATGGAGAACGTTACCCGTACTAGTGATAGTGGTACAGTAAATAACATTTGATTCTTATCACTTTTAGTCAGCAACTTCTAGATCCAGAAATTCAGAGGCTGATTATGACGAAATGCGTTATATAGTTAACAATGCTATTCAAACAGCTTCTTCAATTGGTAAGTGATGCTCTGTTATACGATTATTTATAATTCTGTTTATGTCAGTCTCATTAATTCATTAAAAAAGTTCATTTATTTTCAAGTCAAATTACATAAGATTTCCTTCTATAGTGAACAAAGTAAAATTGGAGTTTTGAGAGTGGTCGCTCATATAAACTTTTTATAGCATAAATTTTATACTAGGCCGTTTATTATGTTATCATTTTTAGTAGTAGAAAATGTGAACTAGGTACTGCATGATAATGATGAATGATGAGGTACTGCATAAAATAATGTAAAAAATGTTGGGTTTTGCTGTGTGCAGATTATCTCTATGGTTTAAGTTCCAGCCTTATATTTGTTGCCAGAATTGAAGTTTTAATATTTTAAAAATAGGATAGTGCGGGGGGAGGGGGGTGTGGAGCACGCTTAGCCTGGTCTTACGACGTGCCAGACGACCAGAGAACCGGTTAATAGTACGATGTTGCCATTATTATTACTAATGGCAAAATCGAAAACCTTTATATACCGACCCACTACCACTTTAGCTTACTGTATGTAGGTAACATACAGTAAGCTAAAGTGGTAGTGGGTCGGCCATAAAATAAAACACATAATAGTTTTTAATCTTAAAATTTATGTCTACGTTGGTAGAATATAGTACTATTTTTTATGTAATTAGTTCCGAAACTCCAATTATTTAGATGATTTAAATTATATTGGATTCATAAGGACAGTTGAATAGTAAGAAATTATATATATAATTATTAAGTTTTCGTATAACAGCGAAACTTAACTTTCTTAACTTATAATAGACTTTGCATTTTTAACAAACTTTTCATGTATGTTATAAAATAATTAATAGATGCAACAATTTTTAGGTAGTATTGGTATAATACATGCGTCGTTTGGAACACTATTTTTCCGAACTATATGGAGCGAGTAAGTGCAGTAGTTATTTTTTCCTTTTTTTGTCTAAAGCAGAAATTTTATAACGGTTACATTAGATTTATCATTAATTAAAAGATTTTTGTAACGCAGTTTTTATTATTAATTAGTTTAACCTTAACCATTTCAGGAGTCCGCCCAAAGGAATGGAGTACCCTGATATTTTTAACTATTTGCAGTACTCCAGTTTTGCTATACCTACGGCGCTAGTCATGTTTATCGTTAATGTCCTTTATCATATGATCCTACTTGACAGGTAATTTCATAATATTAACAGGTAAATTCATATAAGTCTTTTGCTTCTTCATTGTCATAAAGTTGGCAGCGTATCAGAATCCACTACCCTATATCATCCCGTGGGTGTCGGAAGAGGTGAAGGAAACTAATATAGATGGAATTTTATACGTGGTAGAGCCATGCTGCAGCTATATTAGTAGTATAGTTGTAGCACGAAAGGGTCGGCTCGACCGGGGAAGGACCACGCTCTCACAGAATACCAGCGTAAAATAGCAGCTTAATGCTGCTATGTTTCGTATGGTGAGTGAAGAGAACCGGAGACCCTTTTTACTGGAAAAGAGGCATTCCATCTTAGTCCTCACGGGTGACAACGCATCTGCATTTTGATTCGCAAACGAGGATAGATGTAGATGTCTATGGGCCACAGTAACCGCATACCATCAGGTGGACTGTGTGCTCGTTTGTCACCCTATCCTATAAAAAAAAAAGATGATCATCTTACTGATAACAACTCAAAATAATATAAAATATGGTAAGCAATGGTGATATTACTGGCAAATATCCCCCTACCAGGGAGTCTATGGGGAATTCCTGTGTGGCAGTGGACTTTTAATGGGCTGTATTGATTCAAAAAAATCTTCTGGTTGAACATGTTGCTCATGTTGATGATGTGACTCATGTCGCCATCTTTATTCTCCTATCGGAATACCAAACGTACTGCAGGTTACCATCCACACTTGTTTGATATTCCGAATATTTACATTAAGCGCTATAAGTCATCTTTTAAAATGCGCATATTCCTTGAATAGAATGCCCTGCTGGCGTCTGTTTTTCCGAGTGCATATAACCTTAACCTCTTCAAGGTGCATGTTAACAGGCTTCTCCTGGGCAAACTCGCTCTATCGTAGACCTCATCTTTGGAATCAGACCAGATGGAGGTCAAGAGTGAGCCTTGTATAGTAATAAAAAATCTGAATATGAATTTAATATATTATAATAAACTTATTTTCCTCCGTCACCTCCTGCGACGCCCAATTTAAGGCGGTTACCAAAATTTAATACTCGATTTCAAATTAAAATATTTAAAAATTCTGCTTGCCTGAATCCAACCATGAAAAAATAATTTAATAATCAATATCACAATGATGAATTTTATATGTGTTAAATTTTTCTCTTAATAAAATCACTCAGGCTTGTTGATTAAACTATATTATGCATATAATGAAACAATACAATAGGTTTCGATAGATACTTGAATTCAAAACCTAATAAAGATTGTAACTGATTGTGATTCTAAAGGCTGAGTCACGTGGACATTGGTGATATAATTTTTAGCAATAAAAACAAGAGAAATGAGCATAGGCATAAGAATTTAGAGTTCCCTAATTCTAGAAATAAATTTTCAACAACCATAGGGGATGAAGCATTAACGAGGAATATTTATGACAAATAATTTATTGAAATCAAGAAAGATTTTCATTGCTACAATTTTTGCCGCCGTAATAGTGGCGTTGGAGAATAATACGCCCTGTTTCACCTTATATAAAATTATAAAGTAATTTTCGTTGTTTTTTGTTTGATTTTCTTTTTAATTATTTTATTGCATCTTCTGGCAGGTATGTTGCTAAACCTATGAGTGCTTATGCGATGGGAGAAGCTAAGAAATCCTTGCAAAAGCACAAAGATACTTTGCCAAAGAAAATCGGCAATCACGAAAAGGCAAGCACTTTTAAAAGTTTAATTTATCTATACTAATATTATATAGAGAAAAGATTTTTGTTTTTGTTTGTAATGGATAAACTCAAGTACTTAATCGATTAAAAAAATCTTTCACTTTTAGAAAGCCACATTACCATTGAGTAACATAGACTATATTTTATTTAAAAAACAAACAGGCTTCACTGAGAAAATTCAAATAATGTATGTCAAGGTATCAAAAAATTGGTATAAAAGTAATTACTTGGTGTGCGCTGCACGATGTTTATGTTTACGAAATGTTTAAAGAACTTCATCATCATCATCATTACAGCCTTTCACAAGTCCACCGCTGAACATAGGCCTCCCCCAAGTTATGCCACAAAGCACGGCCCTGAGCCACCTGCATGCATCGACTGCCTGCATGTCGTACCAGGTTCAATCCATCTAGTGGGGGGGTCACTCTACACTTCGTCCGCCGGTACGAGGCTGCCCCTCGAGAACTTTTTTCCCCCCTCGGTTGTCGGTTCTTCAGCTTCAGCTATATTGACAGGCAAGACGCACTAGTTGTGCAATTTGGTTTTTCAGGGTTTGAGGTATACCTGACGAGAAGATGTGTCGTAATTTCCCGAACGCTGCACAGCCGAGTTGAATTCGTCGAATGACCTCTCCGTAGAAGTTGGACTTACCTAGTCGGACTATTTGTCCCAGTTAAACATACTCGTCAACGATTTCGAGCTTAGTACTTCCAACAAGTACCGGCATAGGTGTGACATGGACATTACATATGATCTTTGTTATTTCCATGTTTATCTTAAGATCTATCCGTTGGAAGACACTATTTAGGTAGTTGAACTTTAAGTGCTTAAGTCCTCCAGCGATTCTGCCATAAGGACTATATCGTTGGCAATCGAAGGTGAGTTATGTACTCACCATTGATGTTAATACCGTATCCTTTCTAATTCAGTAGCTTGAAAACTTCTTCCAATGCAGCGGTGACGAGTTTCGGGAATATAACGTCAACCTGTCTTACATCTTCTGCAGTTGGATAGGTTTCGTACTCTGGTTCTGTACTCGGATAGTCATCTTAACTCTATTGTACAAACACTTAGCACTTCGATATACCGACAGTCAATTTGGCACCGCTGAAGGAACTATAGCACCGCCCAATTTTCGACAGAATCAAAGGCTTTTTCATAGTCCACATACGCTAGGCAAAGTGGCAGATTGTACTCTTCAGTCGTCTGTAAAGTTTGCCGCAAGGTATGTATGTGGGCTATGGTACTAAAGCCTTTTCGGAAACCGGCTTCTTCAGGAAGCTGGAAGACGTCGATAGAGCTTACACAGATACAATATATATATATATATATATATATATATATATCTATTTGTATTTTAAACGAATTAAAATCTGTAAGGTCTCCCATTACACACCCTGAAATTAATAGTTGGTACCCCCAATTATTATATTGAGAAGTTCACCGAGTATGTGCAATGGCACGAGACTTGAAACAAAAGAACTAAAGACAATGTGATTATTGCAACCACCTCACTGGGCTTGAAGCCCAGCTTGCGTACATTCCACGTGTTCTAATGATACCGACAGACCTTACCTGTAGCTTTTAAGTGGCTTCAATTCCCTGTTAAATTATCGTGTGCCGACACGATAAAAAAGTCCCAGGGACAAAGGTTCTCGCTGTTGGTATATATTTTTTGTTTTATTATATATAGGCTCACATTTGACCACTATCTCACATGATCGCTTACCATCAGGAAAACGATCACGCTTTCGACGATGGAGCACGCTTGCCCAGAAGTAACGTATCCATTCTTATAACCGTCAACCCTAAATCATTTCAATCATTAGTTGTGCGTACTACGAAAGTGTTCCCAAAAATTTTGACTCAAAATCTTGGACTCGCTCAGGGATAGAGTAATTTTTTTTTATTGATAAGTTTTTAGAATCGGCATTTGTCTACACGAACGAAGTCGCGAAAAAAATTTACTTTGATACGAAAGCTGGGTAGTGTAGCTGTTTGGTTGTATTTGGACACAAGTTCGAGTCCTGTATAACTGAAACAACTATATTTATAGACTTCATAAAATGGAGACTGACTGAGCTGCGAATTTTGTGTGATTTCAAATGTTCCTTTTCCATTAGTCTGTGGAGTGTATATCAAGGCAAAAAAGCCTTTACTTTAAATTTCATGTTTTAGATATCGGTGTTTTATTATTTATTATTTTGCAATTGAAAGTGAAATACAGCTTACTTAATATAGGAACTTATGGTCCAAGAGCACATGACGCATTTTTCATGAAGCAATTGATGCATCATGTTGTTATGCATCATTTGTTGTAAAGCATCATTCCACTCAATAAGCAGCTATTTCACTGTTTGCCTGGCCTACCTGGGTACAGCTGGTACTGCGCACACAATTTTATAAATTTGTATCTGTCTGCCTTTTTGTTCCGGCTTATCTCCGAAATGGCAGGACCGATTTTAATGGGACTTTCACTGGCATATAGCTAAAGTTATAAGGAGTAATTTAGGCTACATTAATTTTAGAATAATAAATAGGTTTCCGCGCAAAAAAAAAAACTCACAATTACACGTGAGCGAAGTCGCGGGGAACAGCTAGTGTATAATAAGCACGCTATAAAAATGGCAGATTAAATCAAACACATTTTTTGGGGTTTTTGAAAACAACTTTGGGGTAGTTTGCCCCTATGTATGCTTCTGGATATATAATTATGACAATTATTATTTCAATCAAACACTTTTTCTTTGGCGATTTTTTTGTGATTTAAGCAGTACCTGGTGTACCCAGGTAGGCCAGGCAAACAGTCAAATACCTGCTTATTGAATGGACTGATTCTTTTCAACAAAGTTTCATGATGCATCAAACACTTCATGAAAAATTCTTCGTGAGCTCTCGGAACATTAACAGTTTTATGCATATAATTACATTTTAAGTGCTGATTTACCACGTGCTCAGCAGTGAAGGAAAACATTGTGAGGAAACCTGCATGTCTGAGAAATAAGAAAAAAATATTTCGAAAGCATGTAAGGTTCGGCAATAAGCACGCGCATGCGGTGGATATTTCCTTGCCCTAAAACCCTCTGAGAAGTGAGTCAATCTCAGAAAGGAGGCGTGTGTCCAGCAGTGGGCGTACTCGTATAAAGACTCTAAATTCAACTTTAACTTTTGACATAGAAAAATGTTAATTACAAAATGAAACTTAAGAAAAATGATGTATTATAAAACTTTTACTAACCTAACTTTCTCTCATCTAGTCCAAATATACCAATAATGCACCATTCGTGTTGTTTTATGTATTCATTTTATTATAACAAACCATAGACCTATTTTATATGTACCTATATAATAAAGATGAACAACCAAAAAAAACAGCATTGTGAAACTAAGTTAATCAGTGTGTAAAGACGTTTTAACAAACAAATTACAAACTAAATGTCACCTAGGATAGAAAAAGAATTTGTAGATCATTTCAAATATTTTTTTCTTAGCAAGAAGGGTTAGGCAGCACTGTCGACTTTAACCATTACAGTATTATATTGATCAGTTAATAATTTTCGACGCCTAACATATCTTATTATTTTCTTATTTTATAAAGACATTCCTATTTCCAATGTTTATTATGGATATTATTATTCATATTAATTGTAAAATCCTACTAATTTTTTTGCTAATGTTTAAACATGCATGTCAATAGTTTATGACGACATTAACATATTTAATATTTTTTTTCCAGATGGCCATTTTCTTTACAACTGCAGCGTTACTTCTTTTTCTGTTTCGATGGTGCAAGTGGTTAAACATGGGATGGGCAACATTTCGTAGGGAAACATCCTCACCAGATATACCTGGGTAAATTTTTTGTAATGTTTTTATTATTTGGCTGATCAAGAGATTAAAAAACGAGTATAAGTAATTTTATTATGACCAAAACAAACGAATTTTTTTTAGAAAAAATAGTCACAATATGTATGGAACTCTTGAGCGTGGCTAGGCATGCACTTGACCGTTTTATTATTGTTTTCTATTAGCTTTTAAGATTGTAGAAATTTAACCACGGTAACCTCGTAGTGACTCTTCCGACTTAGACCTGTATTCAGAGACAATCTCGAGTTAAAAACTCAGACAATTTAAAAATAAAAAAATGTATGTTGTGAAGTACTAATTTAACCTTAATCTTCCAAGGTGACAACTTATTGCCGTTACACTTAATCGAGAATAAATGTGTCTAAGGGCATTATTTATTCTGTGCTATGGGCTATCTGCTTACCATCAGTCAGCTTGCGTGCTTGTCAAACACTTGAGTTCAAGAGTATTGTTTTCTTGATAATTATTTGTGAAATGCTATTTTGATGACGAATGTTTATTTTTCACAGTATTAAAGATGCTACTGTAGCTGCAATTTTCGTAATTGCATTGCATGTTTTACCGAGAACTTTTGGTTTTCTAAAATACTTAACTGCTAAAAGTAAGTAGTATCGAATTCAATATATATAATGTTTTTTTTTAGATTATCTAGTACTATTATTATTTTAATTTTACCAACCATATTATGTCATAAATTCTTTGTTTACATATAACAATACTTAACGACAACGACATATCACTTATTCTATTTTGCTTATTTCGTTTTTGTTTTTCAGGAAAAAGTGATTTACCGCCGCTTAAACCCGAGTCTGCAATTTTGTGGTGGAATTTTGTTAATAAAAATACAGTCTATGCATATTTCCTTGTCCTTGGTATTTATTATTTTCTACGATTTTAATTTAAGTAGTGAAATGACTGAATTAGTATTTTCATCTTCTGGGGTAGTCGTAATTATTCCGAACACGCCAAACGGTGCGTAGTAATTTTCTGGTGTAAGTTAGTGAGGTTGGCCATGTTGTAACAGCGGAAGAAAATCTATCATGTCGTTTCGCATCTCCTGGATGTCATAAGAAGAGACTCTGGGAAACGTCAGAAAATCTTATCGCTTCCGATAGAACCTGGTGAATGGTGGTTGAGCCATACTGTTGAGATCCGACGTAAAATGCTCTGACCAGCGTCAGAGTAGCGAGACGTCTGGTGCTGCAATCGTCAATCAGCCTGTCAATGCCAATTTTTACTAAGCAAACATTGTTTAGTAAGGATTTTTATACTACTAAAGAGTACATGATTGACAATAGCCGCTGAGAATGAGGTGATCTCTACCAAGCTGTTTCTAATGTCTTCACAACAATTGTGTATGATCTAAAAAACACAAACTTACATATTGTATACATACATAAAATACATTTAAATTGATTTTAATTTGAAAAATGTTCGGCTGGGTTTTTTGCTGTCTTTCCCGAACCAGTGGTAAAAAAATGGCAATTAATTATTCGTGTATTCTTTATTGAATAACAATGATTCTATTATATTATGTCAAGCGTGACTATTATGAAAAAAAATAATGCCATGATGCCTAAATACTCAAAAGCTACTAAATTTTAAGATATCGCTACGTCTCGTGCTGTGTCTATCACTTTAATACAAAGTGACTCTGACACCACCATGGGATTTAAAGATTTAAAATTGAGTAGCGTTTGTGTATTTAGCCATTTGTTTTTATTTGTTATGGTCTATTTATCTTAACCATTTTACTGTCCCATAAGCATTTTCTTAACTAATTATAAGCCAGTGCTTGAACACAATCCCACCTAGTGGTGAGTGTTGATGCAGCCTTACATGGTAAATCGCACTGTCTTCGCGTAAGAAATGTCCATTCACTCTTTCCTTGAAGACGCTCAAATTGTATTCGGACGGAATTTCGATTGTTTACCTATTGTATTTTTCGCGTACAGGGAAGTTGCTAAAAAGGTTTACGAATTTTGATCTGCGAGATGCTGGTAATCATCTAATTCTTGGGCTAAGGCTATATTTTATATTAATAATAATAATATAAAAATAACATTTGGTTGGAGAAGAGTTACACCCTTCAGATGGCAGCCAAAAATAAAAATAGTGCAGGTACTACTATTTAACGGTAAAAATAGTCAAGAGGATGCTAACTACCCGGATAGACTCCTAGGTAGAAAAGGAGTCTTACCACTTAGCAATAAAACCTATTAAACTGGAACTCCTCACAGCCTATAACTTTATTGGCTGCCATCTGAAGGGAGTAACTCTTCAGACGGCAAAATAGTGCAGGTACTACTATTTAACGGTAAAAATAGTCAAGAGGATGCTAACTACCCGGATAGACTCCTAGGTAGAAAAGGAGTCTTACCACTTAGCAATAAAACCTATTAAACTGGAACTCCTCACAGCCTATAACTTTATTGGCTGCCATCTGAAGGGAGTAACTCTTCAGACGGCAAAATAGTGCAGGTACTATTATTTAACGGTAAAAATAGTCAAGAGGATGCTAACTACCCGGATAGACTCCTAGGTAGAAAAGGAGTTTTACCACTTAGCAATAAAAGCTATTAAATTATAAACAATTTTATTGGTTAATAGCATATTACCTACTGTGATTTGTTACTTTATTTCTCAAAACATAATTTCTGGTTTCTCAATAATTTAGGTTCAGGAGTTGCCTTGAATGTTGCTACACGAGAAACTAAACTAGCTCAAGTTATTGCGGCAGGCATCGGAAAATACTTTACGAAGTACGATTGGAACCTTTCCATATTTCTTGTTGTACTTGTTGCAATTATTCTCGCCAATATAATGCCCGGAGTAGCTGCCTGCTGCATATTTTTACCTTTTGTGATCAACATGGTTAGTTACATTATGATAATTTTTATATTTGATATTGTCACATTAGACAAACAAGTCTTATCAAAGATTACATAAATTGTAGCAATTTCCTATTATTTCACGTGTCTTGGTCAATTTTATTACCATGGCCATAAAAGTTATGAAGTGTGATTATATTTTATAGCAACGCAAACGCAAACACGGAACAAATCATTGTCATCTTCTTACTTCACCTGTCTCTCATCTAATTATAAGATTCTCTAATAAGGTCTTTACTTAAAACTTATAATCTATATTAATAAACTCTTAGGTTTGAATCAACACACTTCAAATCAAGAGGGCGTTGACGTTGTCTATGTTTATGAAATATTTTAATGGGAAATACTTGCCTATTTTATAAACAGTAAAAGAAAGTTTTTAAGATGTAAAACAGAAAAATTTAATAGCTAATCGTTTTATAAATAAATAATAAAGTTTTTCCCGGAATAATACACCATATCAACAGAATTTTTAAATAACTGTTGTACATAAGGCTTTTTAAAACTGCGCCATTTGGCGCGCATTTTTTTGATAAACTGAAATGTTGATACTTTACAGGCTGCAGAACCTGACGCTCCAGTACCCTGGCCAAAAAATGTTTATCTTGGTGCTCTTGCAGTGGGCATTTCAAGCTCTATGACGTTCTTGTTTCCGTTCCTCTATACACCTGCATACTATTGTCACTTTACTGGAAAAGTTCCGAAGAAAAAAATGGTAAGTATTTAAAAGCTTGCTATTCAGGAAATCAGCTTCATAGTTTTTTTGGATATGCATAGATATTTTTCCGAATGCCTCGCAGTGGCAACAATGGGTTATATCGTAATGTCGACGCAAGCCTTTACTCGCCGCCCTTCATTGAATCATCAGCAGTGCACAACCTCCAATGATACTGATTTTTTTTATAGGATCGGGTGACAAACGAGCACACAGTCCACTTGATGCTAAGTGGTTACTGTGACCCATAGACATCTACATCTATCCTCAATAAAGACTCAAGATGCAGATGCGTTGTCACCCGTGATGACTAAGATGGAATGCCTCTTTGCCAGTAAAAATGGTATCCGGTTCTCTGCCCACACCATACAAAACAGCAGCGTTAAGCTGCTATTTTACGCTTGTATTCTGTGAGAGTGTGGTGTTTCCCCGGTCGAGCCGACCCATTCCTGCTACAACCATAAAATAGCTGCAGTGTGGCCCTACCACTTCATATAACCAATACCGATGTACAAGTGATACTGACACCAGCCAGTCTGTGGACTTTAGTTCAAATATGTTCACATTTTATTATGTTTCAACGAAATTAATCTAATGGCTAAGTATACGAACAGCGCAATTTTAAGTTCATGGGTTCGAATCCGATATCCGAATGGGATAAGTTTATAAGTAGTGTTAAGATCACTGATAGGATTATTTTTTTAAATATAAAATTGGATAAACCATCATCAGTCAACTCGAGAAGGTGAGATTGGTTTTGGAAAAAGGTAAGCGTTGTTCATTGCGAAAAAAATGTCATTCTACTGCTTTTCTGCAAGATTTTTTTTTAAATATTACCTTTACACCAGGATTTTCTCCTGTATAGTTTACATACATAAATTTCACAAAGACAAATATCCAGACCCCGAACAATTATTTGTAGGCCATACAAGTACTTGTTCCGTACGAGATTCGAACCCTTGGCCCTCAGGGCTGCAACTCATTGCTAAGCCACTGCGTCACGAAGCCGTCAATTATCTTATCTTATTATACAAAACATTACACCCGTGTAGTGTTAGTGTAAGGAATTAAGAAAATTACTATTATTATTATCACTACCAAATTTCGACTCGTGGATGATGTACGAGGCAACAAACCAGGAAATGGGTCGCAGTCATCCTATTAACTAATGAATGTTAAACATTCGGATAAAAGAAAATTAAACAACCCGCCTGTCAATTGTAGCAACTATAGGAAGCATTCCCCATGAATAATGACATAAAGAAATATGATTATATGTAAATGGATATACATCTAAAATTGTAATCATTTTGTGATTTTGAAATAAATATTATTTTTTACAGGTAAAATATTCAATTCTTAGTTCCATTATTTGTATGGTTATTATATGGCTAGCCGTGTGCTTTTGGGCTCCCGTTGTTTGGGATCCCTCTGGTGAAGGGTTTTCACCCTTGGCTGGACCTGAAGGAGCACCTGAAGGAGGCGGTGGGGCAGGAGGAGATGGAGGTGGCGGAGGAGGTGGTGGTGGCGGAGAGGGTGGTGGTGGAGGAGGTGGTGAACCACCTGCACCTCCACCTCCACCTCCACCAGGAGCATAATCACCATCAAAATAACTCACAATCAAGCCAGCAATTTTGGCTCAACTTCGTCTCTAAAAATAGCCTTAATATTAGAATATGCTTTACAAGAAAGTTATTTTACAATGAACTTGCCTTATATTCTTTAAAATTTATTTATTGTGGAAGATATTGTAATTTTGTTACAGTGATATCGTATTGACTGTAAGCGTGTCTCGTCTCAACCGCGTATTTCATAAATAATAAAATTACTATGAATAAATTGTATTGTGCATTTATTTTACGTTACTAAAAATAAAACTAGTAGGTATAATGCTAAGAAAGAAACATTGAAGGTCACAATCACACGTAGTCACAGGTAGTCAAATTAAGGTGTGTGTGAGCGCTGAGGCCTTTTTTTTCTAAAACAACAGCTACATTGGAAAAATGTGGTACAAATCCTTCTACAGGTGTAAGTACATTGAATTAGAGCACACCTCAAATGGCGATTCATGGTGGCCGCGCCAGGCAATCGAACGTCACATATCAACGCATACATGCCGGTTAATAAGTCCATCTTGTTTTTCGCAAATTAAATGAACAGTATTCATAAAGCAGCCAAAAGATCCGTATTTTAAAATTTCTTGCAGCTTTTGCAGAAAAAATTTACCTTAAATAGCATAAACTAACTTAAGTGATTAGCAACATGCCCTAATATATTTTCAGCTTTTATTTAAAACTGATTTCATCATTCTGTACCTCGCCATTTTCCTGCTGTAATGCTTCCTGCCTCTGCAAAAACTCTACCTCAATGTCGTGTCTGTGATTAAAACTTAATATTATCTAAACATGTAACACAGGAAACTGGCAGATCTTTCAATGCCAAGCCCAGCGAATGTTGGACTATTTATTCAGAATTTTCGCAATATTAAGGAGGAATGATTTTATTTTCTGTCTTTTTCCTATTTGCCTGTGACACATTTTCCAAATTGTATTGTAACATATACGTATATTGTAAATTTTAAAACAATACTGAAATGTATTATGTTCATTCAAAACTCTGTCTTTAAGCAATTATGCAAAACAACACTCTGTGGCCTTCTTTTTCAGAATTGTTTTCCAAATCAAGTAGGATAAAAAAGCCGACACGTATCATCATTTCAGCAATATTAAAAGAAGTCTAGTAAATAATTTCAAATTTATTAATCTAAGAACTTCAAAACAATGCAGCGCGTGGTCATTTAGTGACATTACAAATTTAGCAACCTGAGATAAAATGATAATTAACCATTTAGTCATTTGATAAAACTTTTAAGTGTGCCAGTCATACATTAATGATGATGTTTATCATCATCATCGTCAAAATAGAACAAGATAGTCCTCGGTATGAAAACAATATTTTTGAATATTTTGACGACATTTTGACAGCCCAATCGGCACGCGATTCAGATCCGTCTAGAGACACTTAATTTAAGCGAGCACTGTTGAATTTAGTAGGAGCACTGACCTCTATACATACAAGTACTCTGGACTGGCTATGCCTTACAAAATGTTTGAGCTGATTTGAAGCGCCGCCGTTGTGCACACCGGGAAGTAAAATTGACATAATATATCAAAGCCTGTTGTGTTGTTTAAATCGTATCTCTGTACGAGTATTTTATACTTTTAAACGAAGTTAGAGCTTATTTTAGTTATATAATGACAATTATTTTTAGTAATAACGAGAGTGTACATAATTTGTAAATCTCGTCACCAAAAGGAAAGTGGGATAACATTCCAAAAGTTAGTGAATTTACAGCCAATATTAAAAAAAAAACTAGTTGATAATATAGGTACTTAAAAATTTGCTACTAATCTTAATATCAAAATGACCAACATGTTTGGCTTTATATTACAGAGTTTTGATAAACAATTAAATTCTTATCTATAATAATTATCGATGTTTTTCTACCTATCGATATATCTGTTAACATTGAGCAATGCGGGAGGGGAGAACCATAGCGTTATTTTCCGATACCAAATTGTCTGTCATTTTTTGCGGTGGGAAATTTGCGCCATGCACACTTTCTCAGACTCCCACATAAAATTAATCGTCTGTAACTACGAAACTCACACACGTGGGGTACTTGTGCGATGAAGTTCCCAAGAAAACTATCCGCTACTTATCGTCACTACTGGCGATAAAAGTGTTGCTTATTTTCTCGCTCAAAGGCTAAGTATAGCCATTCAGAGGAAACGTAGCCAGCGTTCTTGGCACTATACTGCGGGGAGTTGGACTGTATGATAGTTTCAGTTTTTAGTTATTTTTATTATAGTTTTTGTTATATTGTATTTTGAATTTCGAAAATAAAATTGTAAATAACTGATAATTATATAATTCAAAGTTTATATATTTTTTAAATAAGTGTAAATATGGTTTACTAATATCTAGGTAGATTTAAATTTTATCGAGGTTGCCGCAAGAGATATCGCTGATTTTGTAAATAAAATTAATAATTTGTTTGATTTCTTATACTCAAGTACACTGCGATATAAAAGAGCTTTTCGATGCGATAGTTATCAAATTGAGTTTGATTTCTTCTCAAAACTCAATTTGATAACTAATCAAATTGAGTTTTGAGAAGAAATGCTAATATTTTTCAGGAACTTAAAAGCAATAAAAAGTGATAGCCAGCAAGACGTTACAAATAGCATAAATTTCATTCACGGATTTAAAGCATCTATAAAATTTTCAAAATAAATTAATTTTAAGTTTTTGTTGACTTTCGATTTTATTTCTATCTTCAAATCCTCAGAAATGAGAAGATGCCTGTGCCCAGCAGTGGAACGTACATACATTACAAGAATAATGAAACTATGAGCTATTTTTGAAGTGAAAACTTCTTTAGAATTGTTGTGATTTGAAAGTCGATGAAACGAAATGGCGACAGTAAATAGTTGACTGAGAACTATATTAATAACATAATATACAAAAAATTTAACAAGTTAATAATTATGATCTTATCACATTGGAATAGATGTGGTTGAAAGGGTGTTGGCAGCGGCCATTGCCTGGTGTAGGGGGACTTTGATAGCATACGCTGTAGTGTAATAAATTTAAATAGGAAAGAAGAGATATATATAAACGATTATTTGAGTGTAGTGTATATGCTCTCAAAATAGTAAAATATTATATTAACGGCTCTACTGTGTGGGTCATTAAAATAAAATTTGGGGGTGGATTGTGACGATGAATTATTATTATTATTAAGAAATAATAATTATATTCAATATACATTTTAATGTCATAGATATAATATTTTGAAGAATTAAAATGCGTTAGTAAGCATAAAGTTAATATACATTTATTTAGAACATTAAGTAGGTATAATATTATAGTAAAGAGTTAATATTGTCTTTAAAAAACCTTTAAAGATATTATATCTCTACTTAAAATATGCAAACGTATTAAATAATAGAAACGCAAGTCGATTTTATTGCAATAATAAAGATAAATAACATTTGCAATATAATTACAAAAGTTATTTATCTTACAATTAGTTAAAAAACGAGCACGGATGAAGTGATAAAATATATTCATTTATTCATTACAACCTATCCAAAGTCACATATATATAACTTTTCCCCAAAGATTTAGAAGCCTATATAATAATATTAAAATAATGTTTTATTTTTTCGACACCATTATTGTGTATTTATATATAATTTAAAATTGAACGATTGAAATTTTGACATAATAACCATTTAATAACCTTACTACAAGCACAAGTTATTTATATAAGTTACTCAAATCAAAAGTGTATGTATACCTTTTTATCACAAAGTTTAAAATTCCTACTAAGCAAAAAAGCGGCCAAGTGCGAGTCGGACTCGCCCATGAAGGGTTCCGTAACAGCACAGCAAACATAATTTACGATTTATGACATATTACTGTACTACTTACTCGATCTCGTCCAAACCAATTTTCGGTGGAAGTTTACATGGTAATGTACATCATACATTTTTTTAGTTTTATCATTCTCTTATTTAAAGAGTTACAGGGGTGGGGGGGACACACATTTTACCACTTTGGAAGTGTTTCTCGCGCAAGCTATTCAGTTTAGAAAAAAATTATATAAGAAACCTCAATACCATTTTTAAGATATATCCATAGATACCCACACGTATGGGTTTGATGAAAAAAAAATTTTTGGTAGTTTTAGTTCTGCGTAAGGGAACCCCCAAAATTTATTCTTTTTTTCTATTTTTGTGTGAAAATCTTAATGCGGTTTACAGAATACATCTACTTACCAAGTTTCAACAGCATAGTTCTTATAGTTTCGGAAAAAAGTGGCTGTGACATACGGACGGACAGACAGACATGACGAATCCATAAGGGTTCCGTTTTTAGCCATTTGGCTACGGAACCCTAAAAAGAGTTATTATATTATTAAAGAATACAAGACTGATAATAGCCCCTAGGTTTGGGGTAATCGCTACAGATTTTTTTTTACAGTAGCAGGGCAGGCCAACGAGCATACGGCTCACCTGATGGTAAGTGACTACCGCCGCCCATGAACAACTGCACCACCAGGGGAATTAAAAGTGCATTGCCGGCCTTTTAAAAAGGAGTAAGCTCTTTTCTTGAAGCTGCCTAGGTCGTATAGATCCGGAAAAATCGCCGATGGCAAACTTTTCCACAGAGAGGTCGTACGAGGAAAAAACTCTTAGTAAAACGTACAGTGGTAGACTGCTAAGCATCCAGATGGTATGGATAGTATCGGTAGTTTTGCCGCGATGTGCGTTCATGAAATTTGGCGTCTGGAATTAATCCGAATAAATCCTCAGAGCACTCCCCGTGATAGATTCAAAAGAAAATACGAAGAGATGCAACATCTCTTCGCAGCGCCAGTGAATCGAGCTGATCAGAGAGGACTTAGTCGTCGAAAATTCGAGCCACTCTGCGCTAGTTGCGGTCAAGTGGAAGGAGCTGGCACTGGGGAGCCACAGCCCAGAGATGGGAACAGTATTGCATGTGTAGCCGAACCTTTGCCTATTACAGT